TGTATGTTATTTGTTTCTTTTTAGATAAACAGTAGCACACAATTTGCCCTATACTACACCTTGCTGCTGTTAACAACCTATACCTCAGGTGTGGTGCACTGTCCAGCAGCCTGGGACTCACCACTTCTTCATGGCTGCATGATATTCCACTAGATGGAGGTGTCATAATTATTCAGCCATGGAACTTAGACTTTCCTCAGCCTTCTACTCTTTAGTCCTTACCCCCAAAATATGCATTGGTGCCTATGGTGTGCCAGGTGCTGTTTTAGGGACAAAGAATAGAAAATGAGGTATTTCGGGAGTGTGCAAACCACATGCAGAGATGAACATTCTCACACACACTTCTATGTGCACATGTGTGAGTGTATTGTTACTATAAACTCTAGAGGCAGAACTACTGGGCCAGAAGGTATGCGCATTCCTGATTTTGATGGATATTGCAATTAGCCCAGCACTAAGGTTGTATTAATTTACTCCCTTGACCTCTACGCTGAATATCTTTCCATATGATTAAAAGTCACTATAGTCTTTTATACCATTATGTTTCTTTTTTAAAAGATTTTTATTGGTTTTTAGAGAGAGGGGAAGAGAGAGAGAGAGAGAAACAATGATCTGAGAGCAAAGCATTGGCTGCCTCCCATACACACACACCCCACCTGCCCCTGACTATCGACTGGGGATCAAGGACACCTGGGCATGTGTCCCAGTCAGGAATAGTCAGGAATCAAACCACAACCTTTGGGTGCACGGGATGATGCTCAACCAACAGCCACAGTGGCCAGGGGCCATTGTGTTTCTTGAACACAAACTAAGTTCTGTGTATAAAAATGCTCATGACTAAGGAACTGGAAAACATGACATGGGACACACGCAGCGGGGATTCATCTGCTCTGCAAGAAGGCTGGGGGCAGCCCTGCCCACCAGGACCTTTCTCCCTCAGCAGGGAGGACTCTTCGGACAACCCAACCCCAAGGAGGAAAGAGTAGGGCTGGAGGTGGTACACTTGACCCAATAGGCCAGGCCCTTTGGAGAGAGGGGTGTGCAGTTAACACTATCAGTGACACACGTGTATTTGGCAAGGTGGAACAAGCTGCACACACAAACGCTGTATATGAACTGAGTAAAATACATGAGTGATGCCCATGACAAAGGTCTGATTTCCCGAGCATGTAAAGAGTTTCTGCAAATCAATTAGAAATGCAACCATCCCACAGATAAAGGGACAAACGAGCCTTGGGGAATGAAACACTCTCCTGTATTCCAGAAAATCTGTTTATAAAATAAATGCTAGAAATAAAAATGTTTGAGTGTGTTTTCCTGATCAGAATCGATCTGCCCCAGTTTGCCATTGCTGTGTAAAACAGTGGGCCTCAGAAGAGACCCCTGTGCTCAGGCAGCAGCGTGGGTTCCCCCTGGTGTTTTCTGTGTGTCTGTCTTTCCCTCTGTTATGACTTCCAGGATTCTCATCACCCCATCGGCACCAATGCTCCCATCAGCCATTCCCACCCCTTCCCTGTCTCAGTGATAGAGATTACTACTTGCCTGCCCCCAACCCCCCTCCCTGCAGCGGCCCCACGTGGGCTTTGCTGGGATCCCTGGGATCCCTTCCTTGGATTCTGACCCTACCATCTGGTGTGCTTTTGCTTCCAACCTGAGACGACACCTGTGACTCCTCAGGTCCTTGTGCCCTCTGTCTCTTGTACCCATGTAAGAGAGCCTGAAGTGCCTGGACTTTGTCATCCAGAATGGCCCTTAGCCAATGACTGACAGACGCAAAACTGAAGCCCAGACCCCTGTCCGGATGAGGACAACTCTAAGGCATAATTTACATTCTGAAACTCCTGCAGATCACGTGATATTTTCCTTCATATGACTTGGCCTGAGATCCTTGCTTGCCACCCTCCCTCTACTGATTTCTCCTGGGAGTGTTTCCTTCTTAAATCACTTGCACACAATCTTTGTTTCAGGGCCTCCTTCTGGGACACCAACGTAAACACAATCTTCTGAGTAACAAAATGCTGGCTTCTGTTCTGGCACATGGCTTCCCTGAATAAGGGCTACATTTCCCAGCCTCCTTTGCAACTAAGAATATGACTAAGTTCTTCTCAATCAGATGTAAACAGAAGTTTGCTGTGAGATTTCTAGGAAGTCCATAGCTGATGGCTAGAGCTAATCTTGGACTCCTATGACAGGAAGTATACCCTACCGATGTGGGGGCAAAGATCTGGGAAATGCCTGGGCATCCTACAAATTCATGGACTTGGCAATACCAACCACAGATTGCCTACCACCCCATCCCAACTTTTTTTTTTTTAATCCCCACCTGAGGACATTTTTGCATTTATCTTCATATAGAGCGGGAGGGATAGAGGGAGGAAGAGAGAGAGAGAAACATCGATGTGAGAGAGACACACCGAGTGGCTGCCACCCACACAACTCCAAATGGGACCAGGGACAAACTGCAACCGAGGTACATGCCCTTAGTGGGAATTGAACCCGGGTCTCTCTGGTCTGTGGGCTGATGCTCTAACCACTGAGAAAACCGGCCAGGGCTCAACTTCTTTTATGTGACAAATACGTTTCTCTCTTTTTAAATCCTATATCATTTGATTTTTTGTTATAGGTAGCCAAATTTATAGTCCAGACCACCAGTACAGAAGCTTAAAAAAGGTAGATATTTGCTTTCCAGTCTCCGTTGCAGCTAAGTTTTGCTAACATGATCCAGTTCTAGCCAATGAGATGTAAAGGAAGGTCTAATGGGGAGAAGAATTTCGAGGAAGAGGTTTCTGGAAAAGATTTTTTTCCCAAATGGAAAAAAACAAACTAAGAAAAACAGGTGCATGACATAGAGCTCTCTTGCCACCCTGGTGACCTACTACTCCCTGCTACCTACCAGATGGGATGTCTGGAGCTGTGGCAGCCATTCTATAATCATGAAGCAATAAGTCTATGGGCAAAAAGCCAACAGCTCAAGATAGCTGTGCTGAAGGATACTGATAGCCTAAACTCTTCCATAAAACACTGAGTCGCCAAACCATTCCCATGACCTACCACCCCACACCAGTGAACAGTCCACAGTGTTAACCAGTTTTTCTATTATTTGCAGCTGAAAGCAGCCTAAACCCACAGGGGACAAAGCACTGAAGTAAAATAAGGAAAATTTAATCTTTATAAGACTTGAAGGTGATAAATTCTCAAGAAGCCTACTACCATAACCTCTTGGAGGTGAAGATGACGGGGTTCTGAAGAGATATCTCTGAATGTAAGACACAGAAACTCCAACTTCAAGGAACTTGATAAGAAATGAGCTTCGGGATCAGTTGATTAGGGTGCTCGACAATGGCATCAGGAACCCAGGATCTTCCCCTCTGTCTGCTTAGCCATTCTTCAAACGGGCTTCATTCTCCACCTGCTAGCAAGACAGGAGCGTTTTTCCAGGTGGTACATCCAGCTATGACAAGGCTATGGAGTCCTGCATGAGCCCCACCCCCCACTACCCCTGATTTCTCATCCTGATCTCTCCTCCCTCTCCCTCCAGCTGCACTTGCTTGCTCTTCTTCAAACACGCTCTGTGGGCTCCTGTCCCAGGGCCTCTCTGCCTGCTGATCCTCCCGCCCACAGTGTCTTCCATACTTGTCTAGCTGGCTGCCCATCCCCTTCAGGTCCTGTCAAATAGCACTTTCCCAGTAAGACCTGACCTGAGCACATTATTTAAAATTATAGCCACCTCCCAATTCCCCTTTCCGGCTTCAATTTTCTCCACACATAACTGCATCCAACAACAGGGCACATTTCCCTGCCTGTTCCATCTCTGGCCCCACCTGCCTAGAAGGTGAGCTCCAGGAGTGTGGAGATGCTTTTCTGACAGGCCCCCCTCATCGTTCCCAGGGCCTAACAGAATAGGCGTCCCATAAATATCTGCAGAAGCCAGGAAAGATGGACAGTAGATGGTCAACATCCATAGGAGGAAGTGGGGGAGGGAGGATATTTTTAGTGATGGCACCCCCAACCCCATCCATCACTGCCCAGCCTCCCCCCAGCGTCTCATCCAGAATCACGCATGCCGGGTCTCAAGGAGTCTCTGGCAAAGAGAGGGGTCTTCCTTTAGCTTCACAGTGGGGTGGAGTCAGTGGGTGTTGGGGAGACATGGAGAAGTGGATGCTGGGAATGCCCTGCAGTAGCAGTTCTGCCCTCGGACCCTTGGTTCTCCTGGGCTTTCTCTCTAGTCTGCGGGTTAAAAACAATGGCCATCTCATCCCTTCACTGCCACGTGTCTAAAAAGAGCTGTGAACCCTCCTTTGCTGCCTCCGGTGCCCTAAAGCCCCCTCCACGCCTCACCCCACTGGAATCCCGTTTCCACCTCCAGCTTTTCAATCCGCTTCGCACCGGGGTTCTCAGTGACCTACTTGTTTCTAAGTCCAACGGGGCCTCTTGGTCCTTATCTGACTCTGCCCTGCTGACGACTTCAGCCTCATCTCCAGCCCCAGCTCTCCAGCGACCTGCCCCATTTCTAAGGTCATTGTGCGGCAGTGACCCTATCAGTGCTGGCCCCCTTCTCCACCCGTCCCCAATTTCACCCTCTGGGAAATCACAGCGCCAAGCCTTGGAGAACTGAAGCAGTGAAACCCTACGAGTTTCGAAATTGCAGCAACCGCATGGGAGAGGAGCTGGGTCCGAGCCGGGCTCGAGGCGCGGCGCGGGGTGGCGCCGAGTGGGCCGGCTCCCTGGGGGAGGAGTCTCCACCGCCCGAGCCCCTGGCCCCGCGTGGCCAAGGCGCCGCCGCGTCCCGCCCGAGCCCCGCAGGGCAGTTGCCAGGCGGAGCGGGCGGGGCGAGGGCCAAGGGTCTGCGGGAATCCCCGAGAGGCGCGGCGACAGCACCCGGCTCCCTGGAGCTGACTGCCCGGGGGCGGAGGGGAGGGGCCGCGGCGGCCTTATTTCCTCGAGCGTTGGTGTCGCCCGCTCCAAGCCTGACCGGCCCAGCGTCGCGCCAGCCCGCGTCCATGCAGCTCCACCGGCTACCGCTGCCCGCGCCTGGGCCCGGGGGCTCGCGCCCTGCCGCCCCTCTGCTCGCGCTGCTGCTGCTGCTCGCCCTCCAGGGCACCGCGGCGGCCCCCGCGGGGTCCGAGCAGCCCCAGGACTCGGGCTGGCAACAGGACGCCGAGATCCCGCGCAGAACCCTGCAGCAGGCGGCGCGCGCGGCGCTGCACTTCCTCAACTTCCGCGTGGGCTCGCCCAGCGCCCTGCGAGTGCTGTCCGCGGTGCAGCAGGGCCGCACGTGGGTGAGTGCGGGAGCCACGCGGGGGGCGCGCGAGGGGACCCGCCAGCGCCGTGTGGGCGGTGCCGCCTGTGCGCGCCTGTTCGCCTGGCCCCGGGTCCGCGGCGCGCGTCGGTGCTCAGAGTCCGTGGAAAACTGGGTGGTTCTTTCCGGCATTTGCGAGGCCATATATTTTTCACAGGGCATCTCCTATACCTGGGAGAGCTGTATGGGGAAACTGAGGAACGGGATCAAAAGGCGAGGCATGATCTTGCCTGGGGGGGGGGGACCCAGAGTTGGTTGCTATGTGGATGGCCATGGCGGGTACGACACACCCGTAGCTGCAGCATAAGACCTGGGTGGGATGTCCAGATTCTAAGCCAATTCCCACGCCTGGAGGCGGACAGACTGGCTTGTCAATTTCGGACCACCGCGTAAGGGCTCCAGGATGTGGTTGGAATTTACACATCAGCCTGGGTAGGAACCTTGGTAATCTTGGCGTCTGCTTTAATCGAATGCGCGTGAGTGAACCAGGGCCGTTTTCTATGTGAACCACGAATGAGAGCATTACAGCCCATGATTTGGTTGCTGATCACAAGGCACGGGCTGTGGCTTTCCTGCTGTCGGTAGAGCTACATTGCTGTCTTCAGCAGATAGAAGACTCCAAAAGTTACACAACTAGACTAAGTCGGCCCCAAAAGTAACCATTCTCTTTCCACTAATTCCCACATATTCCACAGAGCCTGCAGACTCGGCCTCAAAGAATCTAGAATTCAGTATGGAGTATAAGTAGGTCGAGTTTTAAAGAGGGGCAGTAGTTTTTTACCTGAAGATTGTTCTCGACCTGGTGTCAGACAGGTGGGTGGGGAAGGCCATTTGGAGGCTCAGTTTGGTTCCTCGAAGACTTAATTCTGCAGCTAGAGTGGCTAAATTTATTGAATGATGAAATCAAATTGTTCCTAGGAAAAGGCAACCTATTCGGGTCACCTGTTTTAACAATCCTTGCTGTCTCAGGGAGGAAAAAGTTCAGTTTTACTGGCCCAACAGAGGAGTGAGTAAACAGAACTTAAGAACTTACTATCAACGTGGGAGAAAGCAGCCGCCTCTCAGAGCCCAAAGAGGTTGTTCCTATAGGTCTGCTCCTGGTAACCAGCAGGGAGGATTCCCTACAGAAAACCAAGCTCAGATGTCTAAGGGCCACCACTTTCAAAATTCCAGGAATTTTTTCTTCCAAGGCCATACAAGAAATAAATTAAATACTTGGCATTTTCACACACTTAATCACCCCCTTGCGAAAAGTAAAATACTTGGCATCTTGCACAAAATAACTAGCTCTCAAAACCTGAGTAAGAAAATAAAAAGACCTGTTCTCTTCCAAAAAGATCCCAGTTAGTGCTTTTCATCAGTAATAGTAAATGTCCCTGAATTTTAAAGGGATCCTCCTTTGGGGCCAAAGGAGGGAGGAGGTTGGGGAAATCAGTCAATAAATTAGAAGTCACATGGAATTAAATATATGTTTGGATTTCTACTAAAAATAAATAAAAAATAAATTAGAGAGAGTTAAGCATGAGAAGCAGGAGTTAAGTAGAAGAACCCAGGGCATTGACCCTAAGAAAGGATCATTTCCATGGTCATCTGGTTTGCCTTTACATTTCTCCAAAAATAGTTATGTTTTAAAATCAAGGAGCCAAGGAAGAGAGCTCAGTGACTTGCAGGGCCAAGAACCTCTAGAGACTAAAGTGGTGTCAGTTTCTCCCAGGAATTTAGTGAAATTATTTTCCTCCATTTTCCTGCCTCGTCCAAATATCACCACTGAAGAAGGGCCCGCCTCCAAGGGTGAAATCAGCCTGGGGCAGGGTGTATCTCAAACTGGTGACAGCAGCATGCCAGGCAGGATCCTTGGGGATGGCAGAACAGGAGGAGGAGGTGGCCGAGAGGGAATGCTCACTCCTCCTGGGGAGCTGCCTTTGCAGAATATGGGGGCCAGCAGGTGAGGTGTTGTAGGGAACCCACATTCCAGGCCACTGCTTTTCCTCCAACGACCCACACAGCCTACAGAAGGCCATATAAGTCTTTTCTGGCTTTTTCATTTGGAGTGGAAATAATTCATGCTCTGCCAACCATGCCAGTGATTCTTTTTTTTTTTTTTTTTAATCCTCACCCCAGGATATTTTTCCATTTTATTTTCAGACAGAGTGAGAGGGAGAGATAGCAAGCGAGAGAGAAATACCAAAGTGAGAGAGACACATCGATTGGTTGCCTCCCACACGACCCTGACCAGGGCCGGGAACCTAACCACAACCGAGGTATGTGCCCTTGACCGGAATCGAACCCGCGACTCTTTGGTCCATGGGTGGTCACTCTAACCACAGAGCCAAATCGGCCAGGGCTATGCCAGTTATTCTTAAGAGTCTTATAAGGTGATATAAGTACCAATTGTAAAGTATAAAAATGTTACTTACCATTATACTGAAGGGCAGTCCAATCATCCATTAATTTGTTGAGCACTTACTATGTGCCAGGCACTGGGATAGATACTGTGGCATTAATTCAGATTGGGGGAGAGGGGTCATCAGGAAGGCCTCTGAGATTCATTCAGTGTAGCAGTCACTCAGCTGCCCTAATGAGGACCAGAGACACCACCGCATGAAGCTTTCAATGTAGTGACTTAGGAATTTCTGCTTCAATTACAAGAGCAGTCATAGCATTGGTAGGTGACAAATGGTAGATCCCCAAAACTCAGGTTTGCATTCTTTATCCAGTCAGAGCATTTTTAGAGTGAGTGCTCCATTGCTGCACAATGTCTGTCATGCATCCAGGACTGCCCCAGGGTAAGCAGGTGGCTGGGCGGGAGAGGGAAGTGTAGCTGGTAGGGATCCCTCTCCATCTTCGGGGTCAGCATGTCCCTTTGTAAGATGAGAGGCTGGGACCAAGTCAGAGTTTTCAAATTAATGGCCCACTAGTGAGTTATGGAATCAATTTAATAGGTTGCAGCTGTTTTGTGGGGTTTTTGGTTTGTTTTTATTGCAATATTTTGAATACAAACTATTAGGGTGCATTGCTGAAGTAAGGGTAAGTAGTGCCTCAAAATGTTTCAAATATATATGTATGAACTAGGTCATTAAGAATGCAGTTCTTGCTATGGGTTTCAGCTGAACAAAATTGAAAGCCAGTGAACTAAATGATTTTTAAGATCCCTCCCAACTACGAAATTCCTTGATTCTAAGTGATTTCTTGGTTCTGCAAGAATCCATTGCAGAAACACTGTTGTCCTCTAGTGGTGAGACGTAGTAATGGCTGTGGCAGTAAAGGCAACTAAGGATTGAGGAGAAATCAGTGCTAACTGGTGAAGGCAAGTGAGCATTGTTTGTCTTGTTTTGTTTACTAACTGAAGGGAGAAATCACAGACTCAGATTCTGTTCCCTCCCTGCCTCCGTCATCTCCTTCCTGGCCTTACCCTAGTCTTCCATGACCAAGGGCACTGCTGCTTTTCTGATACCACGTGGCACAACCTCAGGGTATCCAAGTCAGCCCCACTCCCACTACTCACACTTAGACAGGTCTCCTCTGGCCACTCAGCAAGTCCTGGGACCACTGGCCCCTGCCGGAGCAGCCTGTGAGAGACCAGCCCTTTCCTGACCCGGAGAGAGACTGGCTGAGACCTTGGTGTGCACGCAGTTCGTTACATCAGCCCATTTGGCAATCAGCTAGTGTTTGGGGATCGGTCACACAAGGTGAATGAATGCCCTCTGGCCTGGACCAGACCAGTAGTTAGAAACATAATTGAAACAACTGACCAAAGGGTGGTGGAAAGTTATGCTCATACTCTAATTGCTTCTGTTGAAGTTAAAATCAATACACACAGAAATGTGTCACCTATCCTTTGCTGTGGGGCTGAGGCTATTTAATTGGCACTCCTCGCAGTCTTGTAAGCAAGAGGACACACCCATGAGGATCTGTGGTTTGTGTTCTGGGTTACTTCCGTGGAGGGAGCACTCGCAAGGGATGCAGCGCCAAATCCTTGGCGGGTCCTTCTTGTTTCGTGCCCAGCCTCGACTCACCCACACTCAATTCAACAGCGGGAGTTTTAGAGACTTCACTTTTCGATTCCTTCTACAGCACTTATTGTGGCTTTCGTGGACATGACATCCTTTTCGCTGCCCTCTCTTTACCAGTTTATATAACATTTAATTATGCAATGAGGTAACAAGTACACCTGGCTTAAGCAAGTTTGGGAGCAAAACAAATGACTTTGGTCAAGCATCAGGCCACCCCTGTGCCGGCAGGCCGGGCTCCTATCCAGATTGCTGTGGGCAGCTGTCCGTGTGGCTGATGGCAGACAGGAGCCTGTCCTCTGAGCCACAAGGCCGTTAGGTGACCACCTACCCTACTAAGAAAAGCCTTCCTTTCAATCTCTAAAGCACTATAATACCACATAATCCATCTAATCACTGCTCTTCTTGAAGTCTTCTCTCCATTAATGTCAATAATTCAGAGATGATTGTTCGCAAGAATAGGAAAGCAATACATTAAGGGAAAACTGGAGAATGAAATAGTCTGCAAAGCAAATGGAGGGGAAAGATCAGAAATAAAACACTGAAGTGAAGTAATCTTTACTTTCACGCAAGGAAGGCTCCTAAGTGCTTCCACAGAACTTGCGCGATAATGCAAGGGTGGGGGTAGGGTTGCAAGAACTCTGGCTCTTCAGTGCGCTCATACTGTCCGGGGGTGAAACCTAGCGATCCTGACAGGCACAGAACAGAGAGGCACGGTTCCTCCTTCCTCCCCGGGCCCTGCTCCTGCTGACATGGCACAGGTGCACCCAAGGTCTCCGCCCCACCTTCTGCCTGGACTGCAGGCTCTGATTGCATAGCCCGGGTCCAGCATGGGCTGGGAAAGGCCACCTGGCGCTAGAGGGTGAATTCTGGCCTTGGCCTCCTTGGCACTTTGCCCTGGTTACCCAAGCCAACTGCTCCTGGATAAACTAGCAAGTAGGAATGCCTTTAACTAGCTTGTAATAAATTG